CTTCCCCAGGGCTCCTGACGAGCGGCATGCACCAAGACATCCGATTGGCGAAGTATTTCCGGCGTGTTATCTGTCCGCCCACGAAAATGAATATGCGGCTCCAGACGATTCGCCTCAACGAATCGATAGAGATCAGCCTCGTACTTCTGTGCTTCTTCTTTGATAGAGTGACGTTCGCCGTACAGATCGAGCGAAACATTTGCTCCATGCTCAATGGCTAATCGCACGCCGTCGAGCAGGACGTCGATCGCTTTGCGAATGACGAGTTGTCCAATGTAGACGAGCCGGAGAACGTCTGATTCTACAGGTTCCTTTGAAGGCGCAAACTCTTTCAGATCTACTCCATTGTGCAGCACGCAAGATTTTCCAATCGCCATCCCTTGCGCCACATGAAAGTCACGTGTTGCTGTCGAAACGCAGTAAATCTCGTCCAACATTGAAATGTCGGCAATGACGCGCTTGTTCAGCTTGATGATATCTCGCAGATGACCAACAAACTTCACATCAACAGTTCGCTGGATAGGCCCCAGAATTCTGGAAACGGACAAGCTATTAGCGTGGACGATATCCGCTTGCCAAGCTGGAATAGTCTTCGCGAGCTCATTCCGAAGCAATTCAAGCGGTTTTCGTTTTCCGGTACTGTCTACCCAAGTAAACGGAATCTGCGCGATACCAAGCTGACTCAACTGAGCAGAAAGAGCCGTATCAGGCGGGCAGACGACAGCCAGGTCAAAACCACGGCTCTGGACAGCACAGAGCCCGCTGAGCATGGAGTTTTCACCGCCATAGATCGTCCCGTATTCGCAGAGATAGACGATCCTAGGCATTGTCGTGAGCAAACCGAAATGAAGAGAACGCTTACAGCAATCCGTAGTCGGTCAATACTTGCGAAAGACGCTTTTCGCCATTCTCGCACAATGGTGTCATCGGTAGACGCAATTCTCCCGAATCGCGGCCAAGCATCTTCATGGCAGCTTTGATCGGAATCGGATTAGTTGACAATCCAAGCATCTCACGGCACAGCGTAAAGAGCTTGAAGTGCATCTTCTGAGCTTCCGCGAAGTCACCTTCCGCGGCTGCTTTAACCAGATTCAACATGTCGCCAGGAACAATATTACCGACCACGGAAATGACACCTTCGCCGCCGATCGACATCAACGGAAGCGTCATGCTATCGTCACCGCTCAACAGCGTCAGATCTGTGAGTTCGAGAACTTGCGATGCTTGATCCATAGATCCGGTCGCTTCCTTGACCAACTGGATCTTTTCCAACTCACTTAAACGAGCGATTGTTTCCGGCTCGATATTCTTACCTGTGCGTCCAGGAATGTTATACACACAGATTGGAATGCTGGAATCTTCCGCTAAAGCCTTGAAGTGTTGATAGAACCCTTCTTGGGTAGGCTTGTTGTAGTAAGGAGCAACTACTAACGCCGCATCTGCACCTTCGGCAGCTGCCCAGCGAGTCAGCTTAAGTGCTTCGTGAGTGCTATTCGATCCCGTGCCAGGCATAACCTTCGCACGTCCGCCAACTGTTTCGATAACCGCACTAAT